AGCCTTTGGTCGAACTTCATCAGGTTTGAGGCTGGCAAGCTCGCCGGTGAATTTGGCAACAAAGTCGGCCAACACCTGCCCCTTGATTGCAGTTTTAGGTAAAAATTGAATGTCGTATTGGCCGAGTTCAAGAGCCCATTTTGAAGCACGTCCTGATGTTTCTGCACTCCGTAGAACTGATCGGAGGGGATAATCTGTTAGCACCCCAATGCTATGTCCCTGGAAGTAATGCATCAGTTTTCTTGCCGCCATGACTAGGGCTAAGATGAGTTTTTCCAGCGGAAGGTAACGTGTTTCAGCGTCAACCATTGCCTTGCTCACATAATACACTGGTCGTTGCTCTCCCTCCTCCTCTTTTAACAGTACGGCGTTGACGGCCCTATCGAAAACTGCAAGATATAGGATGAGCGGGTCACCAGCGGCGAGTGTTGTCAAGAGAGGTACTTAGCGGAGGTAGGTCTTGAGTCCATTGAAGGCTGATTCGCATTTGGCGGACCATTTAAAAGCCTTACCCTGCCGTAGTGTCTGAAAGAATTGTCGGCAGCGATCTATAGACCGGCTGATGAACCTGTTGAGTGCAGCGGCCATCCCCATATACTTTTGGATTTCTTTTACTGAACGGGGGGAGCCGAGTTCCAAGATTGCTGTGACTTGCCTCGGGTTGGCTTCGATTCCTCGGTGATTGACGATGTAACCCAGGAATTTGCCAGAGCCGATTCCGAACGCACACTTGGAAGCGTTCAGTTTCATTCTGTATTTGCGTAAGATGTTGAATTTCTTTTCTAGATCGGCTATATGACTCTGTTCTTCTTTGGACTTGACCACCATACTGTCGATGTATACTTCCATAGTGTGGCCAAGTTGCTTTTTGAACATGGCGGTGACCAATCTTTGGTAGGTTACCCCTGCATTCTTCAGCCCAAAGGGCATAACTTTGTAGCAATAGGTTCCTCTTAGGGTGAGGAAGACAGTTTTGTCCTGGTCATCTGGATGCATGGCGATTTGATGGTAGCCTCTATAAGCATCGAGGAAGCTCATGCGTTGATGACGTGCCGTCGCATCGACGAGCTGGTCGATTCTAGGTAGAGGAAAACAGTCTTTGGGACAAGCTTTGTTCAGATCCGTGAAGTCGATGCACACTCGCCAAGTCTCATTTTTCTTCTTCACCACCACTGTATTGGAGAGCCACGTAGGGTAAGTGACTTCTCTAATTGCCCCGGCGTCAAGCAGTCTGTCTACCTCCTCAACAACGGCGGCAGTGTGCTCCGCGGCTGACCGTCGACCTTCCTGAATGATCGGCTTACATTTCGGATCGACATTTAGATGGTGCTGTGAAACTGACGGGTCTATTCCCAGCATTTCATACGGAGTCCACACAAAGACGTCAAGGTTGTTGAGCAAGAAAGAGATCAACTGCTGCCTGTCGGCCTGATTCAGAGAGGCGCCGATCATGAAGAACTTTTCTGGGCTGCCATCAATGTCAACTCGGTCTAAATCTTCCATGGCCTTCTCATTTGGATATCGCCCAACATCGTCCAGGATCTCCCGATTCGGCACCTCAATGGAGTTTACTTGCAGTTCTTTTGGCATTCTAGCGGCAAGGAGATAACATGCTTGTGTCGATTTTTGGGATCTGCGGATTTGCTCAATGCCGTGTTCTGTTGGGAAACGTAACAGTTGATGATAGGTGCTTGAGACGACCTACAAGGTATGCAACCATGATCGCCCCATGATGAGATTGTACGGCGATGGCAGCCTGACGACCAAGAATTCCACGTCCACCGTTCTGGAGCCTGCTCGAACGGGTAAGCTGATCTCTCCCAATGGGTACTCTGGAGTGGCATTGATGCCGAATAGTGGATAAGGAGACGGAGTTAGGTCTGACTCGCTGAATCCGAGTTTGGTGAAGATTTTATAATACATAACCTCCGAGGTACTGCCCTGGTCGATAAGAACGTGTTCGACGGTGAACTGGTTTACGCACAGCTCAACAACCAACGGATCGATGTGAGGGAGTGTTACACCGATCAAATTAGAATCGTCAAAGGTGATACTTGGCGTTTCTCGGGGCCGCTTTGCTGGCGTGAGTTGCTGTTGGAGGCCTGGATGTGATAGAATCGCATGCACGGCCGGGGCTGCTGGCAGGCTGTATATTATGTGGACGGTGTCAAGCGGAAATGCATCTTTCGAACGGGCAGGTGTTTCGACCACACTTCTCCGGACGCATTGGTGGAGACGTTCGTCCTTTGCCAACTCCTCAAGATGATCTGTTGAAGCATGGCGGCCATCAGTTTCTTGTTGTCGGGTCCGAGATCGTCGATCATCTGCCCTCGGGGGTCGCTCAGAAGCCTGGCGCACCGTTTGTTTGGATTTTGCTATTTTCGAGGCTAGATCGCGACGAAGGCGTTCGTTCTCAGCGATGATGTTGTCCAACCTCTGTTTGGTTTGCCTAGCTTGTGCCATGGTCGCTTGTATTGTCTTTTGCGTTGGGTTTGGAGATGAGTAGGGGTCTAAGGCAAGTCTTGCTGCGATGGTTTTTGGTCCAAGCGAGTTCGCTGGAATGAGGTCACCTCTCTGTGCGGTCTCGTCAGTGGCTATTGGAGGATCTTCAGTCACGCTTGCCATGAATGTATTTGAGTATTCCCACAGACGGCGCCAGTTATGGAGAAGTGGTTTTGGAAATACTCTTCAGATCTTGGGAGACGCTAGTGATCCTTAGCTAGTCACCTGAAAAGACACAAACACTCCGGTCAGGGGTGCCGGAATTAGCACTCCGACGGACAAGTTAGTTCAGACACTCAGAATAGCTTGTCTACTAAGTTTTGTGAAGTGATTCTTACATGCCTTTCTAAATTTGTGGTTCTTGTATTTATACTTGCTTTTTGGGCCTCGGGGCCTGAGCCTACTTTTATCCCATTCCCTTTTTATTCATTCGGAGCCACTGTCCTCCGTCTATTTGGCTTTCCTAACGTATTTGGCGTCCTAGTCATGCAACATGAAGCCGAACAGTATCTAATTTCTGGGGTATGCATCTTCCGACTGTTCTACTTATTCGGCTCCCACAATAATATTTTGATTATAAATTTTCTTTTAATATATGAAAGGACCCATATCAAGAGTTCGCTTTGAGTCCCAAAAATGTTTGAGTTTAGCAAGTGTAATCGCAATGAAGATATTATATATTAACTAAAAAATTCACTTCGATGTATACAAATGTGTGTGAAAAAAGTTAAATATATAATAAAAAAAGTATTAAAAGTTCAAGGAATAAATAAAAGAGAGAAATAGGAGGCGACGGTTAGGGATGGCAAGGGTGGCGGAGATGGCAACGATAAAAGGATTTAAGGACATAGAAGGGAGTTGAGGATAGTGGTAACAATGACAATGAATGTTGGAAATGGAAAAGAGGACTTAAAGAGGGGTCAAGAAGAGTAAGGAGGACTAGCAAAAGTGGGGTTGTCGATAGTTAGGGAAGGGTGCATAAGAGAGGTAGTTGCTGGCTGGGAATGAATGAGAGAGGGAAAATAAAGAGAGGAGAGAGAGTCAACGAACAATGTAATTTTTGTCTATTATTTTGCAATTTTTTTAGAATACTGCCAAATGTCCCTAGCTATTTACTTTGAACCCCTACTAACATAATTGAAACCCTCTCATATTCTCTGTGAGCCCTCATCTTAATACCGACTATACCCCTATTCTTTTGGACTCCCAACTCATAGGTCGAAATTACCAACAACAAACACATACTTGAGAGAAAAATCAATGACAACCGAAGCTTCATCGTATTTCCAAAATATTAACATACATATTTCATTTCGTAAAAAATTATTTTGAGCCATATGTTGTTTTTGCTTTCTACAGTTTCAAGACAAGTGAGATTTTGACAACATTTCTAGGCCCCACGCCATTGTTATCGGATTCATGAAATCTCTGCCACCATGCCAACATCGTCGCTCCTCACAATTTCGTCGTTAACCAAATTAGCGGCCTAGCTTACGTGGCATTTTTTGGTGTCTAGATCGTTGCCGAAAACTTAGTGGCATTGGATTGCGACGTCGTTGATGGACTTTTCTCGGAGTTGCGATGCCACAGTGGTGAGGCGGAGGAAGAACCTATCATGGTTCATACTAGGATGTTAGGGTTTGGACAATTAGGGTTGGAAGGTTAAAGATGAGAGTAAAAATGGAATTTCATATTTAGACAAAATTAAAATTAAAAAAAAAATAAAAGAAATGAAATGTCTAAAAAAAAGATAGATATTAATAGTATCACTCTTTTTTAAGATTTAATATTAAATGCAATTATTCTCCTTACTATTGCAATTATTTCATTTGCTTTCTATTATTTTTTTAATTTTACTTAATCTCATTTGAGAACATGTTAATTTAATAATAAATTTTTAATTTTTTATAATATTTGAACTCTTTTTCAAGGTTGTTGTGTGGTAAAATTTCAAAGTTAGGGTGGGATAAGAAAGGTGAGGGAAGAGTGAAACTTCTTACCCTTGTCTACCTTAGACCCCTTTATTTTAGCCTTTGAGACCCACACAATACATCTTTGGAAAGAATATATCAACAGGGCCAAAGCTAACTAGGTTGTGAGGCGTAGCACCCTAATCACCTCCCTATGTAATTTTTCTTCATTTTTTAATAACTCAAGCACCACCCCTTTCAAGTTAAATTAGATACCTATAGGATCTCGACCTAGATAAATTAGACGGGTACCTCTATTCATACACCACATTAAGGGATTATTTAAAATATTTTAAATAAATGTATTTTTTAATTTTTTATGAAATATGAGTTAAATTTAAAGTAATGTAACTTAAATAAGATGATGTGACTTAAATATAATAATAATTTTTTAACTTTTTAATTTTTTTTAAAACGTCAAACTTAATCAAAATTAAAAATTAAGATGTCACTACTGACCCACGTCCCGAAGCGGCCATCTGTGTGAGTGTCGTCTACTTTGCAAAAAGTAGAACACATTGTAAAATTTTTTTCTCTCTCTTTGTCTAGCTTTCCGCAGTTTTTATTTCTCATCTCAGGAAAACAAAAACAAAAGTCTCCTCTTCAGTCTCTTCTCTACCACCTCTCATTTCATTCCACCAAAAGAATCAGAACCCAAACAAAACTACTCTACTACTCACATATTTTAAAAGAAAAAAAAATCTGAGAGAGAGAGATCAAAGTAGGAGAGAGAGATCAAAGTAGGGTTTCGATTTTGTTGTTGGCGGCGTAAGTGTGGAATTTCGCACAACGGAAGGGGACGAATGGACCCTGCAGTGTTGGACAAGATAATCGAAAGGCTAATCGAAGTCCGATCGACGAAGCCAGGGAAGCTTGTTCAGCTTTCTGAGTCTGAGATCAAGCAGCTTTGTGTTGCCTCTCGAGATATCTTCATCCAACAGCCCAATCTCCTCGAACTCGAAGCCCCCATCAAAATTTGCGGTATATAGCGATGCACAAAAGCAAAAACAAAAACAAAAACGAAAACGAAAACTACTTTTTTTTTACTATAATTTTTTTAACTGTTCTGTTTTCAGGTTTTTTATTTTTTATTTTTTTGGGTGATTTGATTTATGAGATTTTAATAAAATTGCTTGAATTTTTTAGCTTTCTGCGATTTGGGAAGTCACAACATGAGTTTGAGTTTGTGGGTTTTGTGTCAAATCACGATTTTGGAGATAGCTGCTTTTGGATTCAGAACAGCAGCTTCCAATAGTAGTTGTAGTTTTTTATTTTTTATTTTTTTGGGGGGCGTGTTTTGGTGGTTTGACTAGTAAGATTTTGAGTTGTTTTATTGTATTAACGAAAAAATGCTTCAATTTGTTTTGACTTTTGAATTTACTAGTACCTTTCTGCGATTTGGAAGTCACTATATGAGTTTGTTTTTTGTGGGTTATGTGTCAAAATATGACTTTGGAGGTAGCTGCATTTGGGTTTAGAAAGAGCAGCTACCAATAGTAGTTGTAGCTTCACTTGTTGGGTTGGTGGAGTACTGTTCATTTAACCCTATGTTCACTCAAACACTGCGCCAATGAGGGGTTTGGGGGCGCCTCCCCCAAGGGGGAGGGGGGTTTACCCGTCCAAAATTTTTGGGTATTTTCATAATTCTCATGTTAGTTTTCATGTAATCCTAATTCTTATAAATAGATGAGGGGTGTCTCTTTTAAGTTAAGAGAGAGTTGTATTTTTCTGATCACAGTGAAAACGGCAGTAGCCGTGGACGTAGTCCTATTTTGGGGTGAACCACGTAAATCATTGTGTTATTGTTTGATTTATTTTTTCTTCCTTGATTGTTATTTCGTGTCTCACCAATCGTGGTAGGAAGGGTCAATTCCTAACATCACTGTGCTCATTGTCATTTCTGTTTAGTTCATGAACAATTATTTTTTCTTGTGTTAATGTTGGTTTAACTTATAAAGATTTTCAAGTAGTTGTCTTGTCATATTGACAAAAATGCTTGAGTTAGTTTTGAATTTGAATTTACTAGTAGTTTTCTGCGATTTGGGAAGTCACAGTATGAGTTTGCTTTTGTGGGTTATGTGTCAAATTACAACTTCAGAGGTAGCTGCATTTGTGTTCAGAAGTGCAGCTACCAATAGTAGTTGTAGCTTCACTGTTGCATCATCATCACTGTTGTTATTGTTTAGTAAGTGGATAACGCCATATAAAACTGCAATTTGTCTTTACTCAGCGCAATTTCATAAAGGATTTTATGCTATGGATAGTCATTGAATTGCACATGTAGAATTCAAACATAGCATAAGTGCAGAATAGCAGTGCATTGTGATAACTATTATTTCCTGATCATTTAATAATTATTTATTTCATTTCAGGTGACATTCATGGGCAGTATAGTGATTTGTTAAGGCTCTTCGAGTATGGTGGTTTTCCTCCTCAATCCAATTATCTATTTTTAGGGGACTATGTAGACCGTGGCAAACAGAGTCTGGAAACAATATGCCTCTTGCTTGCGTATAAAATTAGATATCCAGAGAACTTCTTTCTTCTCAGGGGAAACCATGAATGTGCTTCTATTAATCGCATCTATGGATTTTTTGATGAATGCAAGCGCCGGTTTAATGTGAAAATATGGAAGTCCTTTACTGATTGTTTCAATTGTCTTCCTGTGGCCGCACTCATTGATGACAGAATATTGTGCATGCATGGTGGCCTTTCCCCTGATCTTACAAACTTGGATCTGATTAGAAACTTACCCCGTCCTACTCCTGTTCCTGACACTGGTTTACTGTGTGATTTACTCTGGTCGGATCCTGGTAGAGATGTCAAGGGATGGGGAATGAATGATAGAGGAGTTTCATTTACATTTGGCCCTGATAGGGTGTCCGAGTTCTTAACAAAGCATGATTTGGATCTTATTTGTCGCGCCCATCAGGTTACCGACTCTTCTGTTGTTTGTTGTTCAACTGACTTATTGGGGTTGCTTACATGTGTTTTCTGATCTAGGTTGTAGAGGATGGTTACGAATTCTTTGCTGAGAGGCAGCTTGTAACCATATTCTCAGCCCCCAACTACTGTGGTGAATTCGACAATGCTGGGGCAATGATGAGTGTTGATGAAAATTTGATGTGCTCATTTCAAATTCTCAAGCCAGCAGAGAAAAAAACCAAGTTCATGATGTCCGCAAAAACGTGACCAAAAGGTCAGTTCATTAAATTGCTTCGCTCATCTTAATATTGCTGTTCACGTGTCAATATCATTACCTAAATTTCCTTGCCTTAGTAAATAATGTTGTTGGCTTGCTGCTGGGTTGTTGGGGTGGGAGGGTTATGATTAACTTCTGTAGTAAATCAAATTCATCATTTAGTCTTCTAAATTTCAGCTTACTCCTAAAGTGTATCATTATTTGTCTCCTAGTGGAATATTTTGGTCAAATGAGAAAATTGGGTTTTTTATTTTTTATTTTCGTTCTCATAAATGGTGAGAAATGAGACCATAGTGGCAGGTAAAAAAAAAGGTAATGGAAGGGAGAGGCAAATAAAATGCTTTTCCTTGTTTAGTTGTCATCTCAAAATTGTTTAATTGTGGAATGGGCTTTTTTGCCGTCTGTTGGGACGGCAGGGGGGGTTCTTCTTGGTTGGGATAAGAGGGTGGTGGTGAGAGAGGAGGAGGAGGTGGGGGGTTTTTCGGTGTCCTGTTTGTTTCGATGTGTGGAGGATGATTTTCGGTGGGCCTTTACTGGGGTGTATGGTCCGGTGCAACATTCGGAACAGGGAGGGTTTTTGGAGGAATTGGAAAGTTTGGCATTTCGATGGGATGTTCCTTCGTGTGTCGGGGGAGATTTTAATGTTATTCGATGGCCATCGGAGAGGTCAGGAACCAATCAAGTCTCGGGTTATATGAGGTCTTTTTAAGGATTTTATGCTATGGATAGTCATTGAAGTGCACATGTAAAATTCAAACATAGCATAAGTGCAGAATAGCAGTGCATTGTGATAACTATTATTTCCTGATCATGTAATAGTTATTTATTTCATTTCAGGTGACATTCATGGGCAGTATAGTGATTTGTTAAGGCTCTTCGAGTATGGTGGTTTTCCTCCTCAATCCAATTATCTATTTTTAGGGGACTATGTAGACCGTGGCAAACAGAGTCTGGAAACAATATGCCTCTTGCTTGCGTATAAAATTAGATATCCAGAGAACTTCTTTCTTCTCAGGGGAAACCATGAATGTGCTTCTATTAATCGCATCTATGGATTTTTTGATGAATGCAAGCGCCGGTTTAATGTGAAAATATGGAAGTCCTTTACTGATTGTTTCAATTGTCTTCCTGTGGCCGCACTCATTGATGACAGAATATTGTGCATGCATGGTGGCCTTTCCCCTGATCTTACAAACTTGGATCTGATTAGAAACTTACCCCGTCCTACTCCTGTTCCTGACACTGGTTTACTGTGTGATTTACTCTGGTCGGATCCTGGTAGAGATGTCAAGGGATGGGGAATGAATGATAGAGGAGTTTCATTTACATTTGGCCCTGATAGGGTGTCCGAGTTCTTAACAAAGCATGATTTGGATCTTATTTGTCGCGCCCATCAGGTTACCGACTCTTCTGTTGTTTGTTGCTCAACTGACTTATTGGGGTTGCTTACATGCGTTTTCTGATCTAGGTTGTAGAGGATGGTTACGAATTCTTTGCTGAGAGGCAGCTTGTAACCATATTCTCAGCCCCCAACTACTGTGGTGAATTCGACAATGCTGGGGCAATGATGAGTGTTGATGAAAATTTGATGTGCTCATTTCAAATTCTCAAGCCAGCAGAGAAAAAAACCAAGTTCATGATGTCCGCAAAAACGTGACCAAAAGGTCAGTTCATTAAATTGCTTCGCTCATCTTAATATTGCTGTTCACGTGTCAATATCATTACCTAAATTTCCTTGCCTTAGTAAATAATGTTGTTGGCTTGCTGCTGGGTTGTTGGGGTGGGAGGGTTATGATTAACTTCTGTAGTAAATCAAATTCATTATTTAGTCTTCTAAATTTCAGCTTACTCCTAAAGTGTATCATTGTTTGTCTCCTAGTGGAATATTTTGGTCAAATGAGAAAATTGGGTTTTTTATTTTTTATTTTCGTTCTCATAGATGGTGAGAAATGAGACCATAGTGGAAGGTAAAAAAAAAGGTAATGGAAGGGAGAGGCAAATAAAATGCTTTTCCTTGTTTAGTTGTCATCTCAAAATTGTTTAATTGTGGAATGGGCTTTTTTGCCGTCTGTTGGGACGGCAGGGGGGGTTCTTCTTGGTTGGGATAAGAGGGTGGTGGTGAGAGAGGAGGAGGAGGTGGGGGGTTTTTCGGTGTCCTGTTTGTTTCGATGTGTGGAGGATGATTTTCGGTGGGCCTTTACTGGGGTGTATGGTCCGGTGCAACATTCGGAACAGGGAGGGTTTTTGGAGGAATTGGAAAGTTTGGCATTTCGATGGGATGTTCCTTCGTGTGTCGGGGGAGATTTTAATGTTATTCGATGGCCATCGGAGAGGTCAGGAACCAATCAAGTCTCGGGTTATATGAGGTCTTTTTGTTCTTTGATTGATTCTTTGCAGTTGGTTGATTTCCCTATTCAGGGAGGTAGCTTCACTTGGTCAAATGGGCAGAGCATGTCTCGTATTGATCGTTTTCTGGTGACTGGGGGATGGGAGGAGCATTTCTCGAAGGCAGTCCAATTACAACTTCCTCGACCAGTGTCTGATCATTGGCCTATTGTGCTGGATAATTGGGAAATTCGTTGTGGTCCTACGCCATTTTGGTTTGAGAATATGTGGCTGCAAACAGAGAGTTTTTTGGATGTGGTGCGTGGTTGGTGGAGTAGTTATGTCATTTCTGGTTCTCCTAGTAGTGTGTTGGCCCATAAATTGAAATTGCTCAAGGGAGATTTGAAGATTTGGAATAAGGAGGTGTTTGGCCATTTAGAGGGTCAAAAAGCGGAGGTGGTGTCTTCGCTCCGAGCTCTTGATGAGTTAGAGGCGCAAGGGGGTTTGTCCACTGCTGATCGTGCTCGGAAGGAGGCGGCTAGACAGGATTTTGTTTGTATTTCTCGTATGGAGGTGTCTTTTAGACAAAAACCTAGATGTTTGTGGTTGAAGGATCGGGATCGAAATACGAAATTTTTTCATTGGATGGCCAATGCACATCGGCGGGTTAATCAAATTACTCGGATGTTGGTGGATGGCCGACAGCTTTGCGCGGATCCGGAGATTCGGGAAGGGATTGTGGGTTTCTATCAAAAATTGTTTCGGCAACAAGAGGGGGAGTGGCGGCCACGCTTGGATGGGGTTCAATTTGATATGATTTCGGAGGAGGATAAGGAGCGTTTGGTGTGTGCTTTTACGGAGGATGAGGTGTTTGGGGCTTTGCAGGCCATGAGTGGTGACAAAGCTCCGGGTCCTGATGGATTTTCATTGGCTTTTTTCCAGCATTGTTGGAGTGTGGTCAATGGTGATGTGATGGCAATTTTCAAGGCTTTTTACCGTTCTGGCCAATTTGAAAAAAGTTTAAATGCAACTTTTTTGGCTTTGATTCCAAAGAAAGGGGGGGCTGAGGTTGTTCGTGATTTCCGGCCTATTAGTTTGTTGGGCAGTGTGTATAAAATTTTAGCTAAAATTCTTGCCAATAGACTTAGAGGGGTTTTAAAGGCTGTGGTATCTGAGTCTCAGAATGCGTTTGTTGGAGGTAGGCAGATTTTGGATGCTGTGTTGGTTGCCAATGAGTGTGTGGATTCTCGGATTCGACAATGTCGTCCCGGTCTGATTTGCAAATTGGATATTGAGAAGGCATATGACAATGTTAATAGGGATTTTCTCATGTATATGTTGGATTGGATGGGTTTTGGGGACACTTGGTGCCGTTAGATTAAGTTTTGCTTTTCGACTGTGCGGATGTTTGTCTTGATTAATGGATCTCTAGCAGGTTTTTTTCCGACGTATCGGGGTCTTCGGCAGGGGGATCTGTTGTCACCTCTGTTATTTATTTTAGTGATGGAGGCGTTGAGTAGATTGTTGGATAGAGCTGTGCGTGGGGGTCTCCTGGGGGGCTTTGCTGTGGGATCGTTGTCTGGGGTGTCTCTTGTTGTATCTCATTTATTATATGCGGATGACGCTCTGATCTTTTGCGGGGCTGATGTAGATCAGGGGTCACTTGCGGTGTGTGCTGTTATGTTTTGAGGCAGTATCGGGTCTTCGAGTTAATTTGCGAAAGTTGAAGCTTATTCCAGTTGGGGAGGTTGAGCGGTTATCGGTTTTAGCTGCTGTCTTGGGATGTAGGATGTTAGTTTTGCCGGTTAGTTATTTGGGTTTGTCGTTAGGTGCCTCTTTCAAGGCGAAAGGGGTGTGGGATGGCGTGGTGGAGCGTGTACAGTGTCGTCTGGCAGGTTGGAAGAGGCAGTATTTGTCGAAGGGCAATCGGTTGACGTTGATTAAGAGTGTGTTGAGCAGTATTCCGACCTATTTTATGTCGGTCCATGTTATTCCTATATTAGTCGCGCATCGGTTGGAGAGGCTTCAGCGGGATTTTCTGTGGGGTAGTAGTGCTGATGAATTTAGGTATCATTTGGTTGACTGGGGGAGGATTTGTCAACCTAAGCCTGCAGGGGGGTTGGGGGTGAGGAAGCTGGTGACTTTTAATCGGGCTTTGTTAGGGAAATGGTTGTGGTGGTTTGCCTTGGAGGCGGACAGGTTCTGGCGGAGGGTGGTGGCTTCTAAGTATGGGGTGGGGAGGGGGAATTGGATTTCGGGGGATGTGCTCACCCCGCATGGCTGTGGGCTTTGGAAAGGATTTGGATGGGTCGGGAGGAGTTTTGGAGGTGGGTAGTGTTTAGGGTGGGCAATGGGTTGCGGGTGCGGTTTTGGAAGGATAGGTGGTGTGGGGGGGGAGTCTCTGGAGGTCCGTTTTCCGTTGATTTTTCATATTGTGGTTGATAAGGAGGCGACAGTGGCATCTTATTTAGGGGGTGGCGATATGGTGGTGTGGGATATTCAGTTGCAGCGTGCGGTGCATGATTGGGAGGTTGCTCAGTCGGTAGAGTTGTGGGCTGTTTTATATGGGATGGGAATAAATGGGAGGGGACACGATGTTATGGAGTAGACTGGGGTGGGGGCAAAGAGGCGGTTTTTAGTTACATCTTTCTATAAAGGTTTGGTGGGGGATGAGGGTTTTGCTTTTCCTTGGAATAGTGTTTGGTTACCGGGTGTTCCGTCTAAGGTGGTTTTCTTTATGTGGACGGCCGCTTTAGGCCGGAATCTCACTTTGGACAACTTAATGCGGCGTGGTCATGTTTTAGTGAATCGATGTTGCATGTGTTGTCGTGCTGCTGAGTCGGTGGATCATTTGTTTCTTCATTGTTTGGTGGCTTCCCAGTTGTGGGGTTTTATTTGTTCTCTTTTTGGGATTGCTTGGGTTCAACCTAAGGGGGTGTTGGATATATTTTGGGCGTGGTGGGGTGTTAGGTTTGGGCATCGACGGCGGCGAGTTTGGGTGTTGGCGCCGTTTTGTTTGATGTCGCTTGTTTGGTTGGAGCGGAATCGGCGCACTTTCTTAGACGTTGCTCATGGGGTTGTTTGGTTACAAAATTGTCTTTTAGTGGTTATGGCCAAGTTTGGCAAGTTGAAAAAAAGTCAAAAAGCTAAAAAATTACTCAAAAAGTTAAAAAGTTATCATTATTCATCAAAAGTCAACAAGTACGGCTGCACAACTCCCAATTCTAATTTTCCCTTACAAACTAATTTATACAATTTTTTAATACACATTTTTCAATAAAAAGTCAAAAAATTAACCCAAACAACCATATTTTTTTCCTCAACTTTTTAGTCAAAAAAATCAAAAAGTGCATTTATTTAGGAAATCTCAAACAATCCCTATGTATAGTTGGTTGGAGAGGAAGGTTGATCCGGACTTATTTGTTTTTTTGGATTTTCTAGAAGATGTGATTGGTTAGCTTTGTTTATGGTTAGTTTCTCCTAATTGGGGATGGCTTTTCTGTATTTGTTTGCATAAGCTTGCTGCGTTTTTAATAAAGATTGGTTTTATTTATCAAAAAAAAAATAAAAATTGTTTAGTTGTCATATCAAAACAAGAGGCAAAGAAAAATAAACCATTTGAAGAGGCCATTTTTTTTGGTAGAGAAGATGAAGAGAATGAATTATAGTTGAAAAGGGTTCTAAAACCACTCCCCTAGATTGAAAAATCTTTGTAGCTTCCATAACAAAGTAAAGAACGGAAAATAAACCCCTTTGATGGTTCCCTTATATATATTTTTTTTCAATCCTCTTTTCCATCTTTAGCAAGAAAGGTAAAATAAAATATGTTGGTATTTTCTTTTCATTTCTTTATTTGTTTCTGAGAACTAAACAACTAAACAAGGCCTTGAAAATACCTTACAATGAACTTGTTTGCTCCTTTTTTGTTATTTGGAAAGCAAGATTGCTTGTGAGGATCTTTAGTAATATGTAAATGATGAAGAATTGTGAAAGAAGATTTATGCTCCAATTTTGTGGATTAAGGGTGATCAGTTCAATAATGGAAGACAGGAAGCCTTGGTTTATCTAAAAACACTTGGATACAGTACAGGTTTTTTTCTTGGAACGGTACAATTTGAACATTGATTGTTGAGCATCAATTTCAACTGGAATTGTGTCATATTGACGTCAAATACTAGTCTTGTAAAGAGGATCTAGGTGCTCTTAGGCAGTATTTGGTCAAAAGATTTGGTGCCATGAACTTAGTACCAGAGAGATGAAATGTTCTTAAGACGGGTGGATAGCAAAGCAAGTGTTATGTGCTGGCTAGCATGAGGGTGGTTGATCTCAAGGGGGCAGTGTTACTGTGAATTTATTTCAAGTAGAGAGCAAGACGGTTTTAATGAAGAGAAATTGGTTGTTTGGAAGGCCGAGATTTATGTTTAATTGGCTTCAGTTGGGTGCTGTTATAAGGAGGGAAAGCGGATGGATAATTTAGTCACTAAGTCATGAAGTTGTGCAGTATTTCTTGGAATGTGAGAGGGTGAATGATCTTGATAAAAGAAAGGCGTTGAAAGCATCTTTAAAGAAGTGGAGAGGTGACTTGGTGTGTATTTAGGAGATAAAAATGGAGCTAGATTGTTAGAAGTTTATGGAGTGGTAGTTGGATGTGGTGCGGGTATTTTAGACAGGTGATTATCGGTACATACTCGATTTTATGTCTCTTTGAGGATGTGGAACATGGTTTTGTTTGGGCATTCTTGGGGGTCTCTTGTGATGAAAAGTTGGAATTTCCCATGGTATATAGGGGTTGATTTTAATGTGGTTAGAATTCTGCTTGAGAGATGGGCATATTAATGGGGCTATGGAGGAATTTTTGGGCAATTGATGCATGGTTCAGTTAGAGATCTGTTTTCAACTTGGGGTACAGGTTGCTCAAGGGGAAGCTTTGGGAAGGCTTGGGAGATTGCTTCATTTTGTGTTTTGGGTGTTTATAGAATGAGATAAATAAAAGGTCTGGTATTGAGTGTTCTATTGTGTGTTTGAATGGAGTTGTGCGTGTTTTCTTTTTCTTTTTTTGTGTGGCTTTAGGGACTCTTTTCCATTTTCTTAATATGATTTTGTTGACTTTTTGGGGGGAGTTGTCCATCCTTGTAGACATGTAGAAGGGGACACTTTTTTGTTTTTATATACTTCCAGTGAACCAGGTTGCACCCTCTTTTGTGACGCTTTTTCTATAATAAAAATCTTTTACATATCAAAAATAAAAATGAAAATGCAAACTTGCACCACTTTAGTGTTGGTTATATTTTGTACTAATAGTTTGTGTTGTTTCAAGTTTCAAACTTTCAGGTTATAAAGAAGCAAAACGACAAAGGCTACTTACGGAGATTTTTCCAATTATTGGATTTTTTTTTATTTTAATGATTGTACTTAGTTGATAATTTCTCCAATTAAGGGGAGAAAATCCATGAAGCTGTTAAAACTTAAGGCCTTTCTTCAACAAATCTAGCCTAAAACAAAAAAGTAGATCTATATTAAAATGTTAAATGAAATCTACCTCATTCAACTAAAAAAAAATAACAAAACATTCATTGTTTGGAAACTTTTGGTTGAGGATGAAAAGACAAATTTATGCTTCATATCATGTCAATCTAATATTTTCTCAAGTTTTCCGGAGGTTTACAATGTGCTTCGTGGTATACGAATTGAGAAGGCAAGTCGAATCATTGAAAAAAATGAGTGGTGTGTCTAAAGCCTTATGTAAGTAGCGCATGCATGACATGGACAAGTTAACACGATGATTTAAAAAAAAAATGCAGAGTACGATTATTATTATCATTATTTTATAAATTTATTATATGTCAAATATGTAAGTAGTTCGTTTATAGATAATGAAAAAAATAATTTAACACTAATTAAAATTAAAAAGGTTAATCTTCCATAACTTAAACATTAAGATATCATTTGCACAATAATTGCATTATAAATAATGCAAAATAATTCTAAAAAATATTGAAATACGCATGTTTCAAAACATATTTAGAATGCACTACATTATGAGTAATGCATAACATTCTTACAATGAAGATATTCATCATATAGGTCATTAAAGTGTTCGAGAAGTCCGATATTATGAATTGAAAATTTTAATTAAGACATGTTGAATAAGAGTCTGACATGCATTTAGGAGTGTCCGCAGAGTGTCGGACATGACACACCTCCTCTGTAGAAGTGTCTGTACTCATTATGTTTGATGGTTGACAACTCGGGGAATGGAGCAGCAATGCATTTACCGTGAGAATTTCATTCAAACCACGATAGTGGCAAATATTGGTTTTGGTATGTGCCAAAATGTATTGTGGCCGATTTTTAAATTATTGGGTAGATGAAAGAAAATCCATATGTTTGGACCAGACCTGGGACAAAGATTTGGAGCTCTGTTGGGAGTCTAGTTTTTCCCTGCTTTTTTGTATTGGCTAAACTAGAAAACAGTGCAATTCAGTTTTATTTTGGACATTTTATATGGCATTTTTTGTATGTGTTAAAAAACTACTATGCTATTTATGGACCATGTTGAATTTGGATTTGATAACTAGGTCATGGGGGTTTATTTATTTGTCAAACAAGCTGAGCTCTAGCCTTGTTCTTTGGCTCATTTTCTTAATTATCTTATCCTCCTTGCTCAGTCGTGCTCATTGAACTTCCGATGTGATCATATGTATATATATTGAAGTGTCTACATAGAAATTGTCTCACAATTACCTTCCTATGCAGCTGAGACCCCGCTGATTCAATTTTCTGGAGAGAGAAGATTTGAAGTCCAGGCTGGGGCAAACACTATCGTTCTTGACATGTGCCCGAAGAATTAACGCTCACCCATCACCCTCCCATCTTTTTTTTTAATTTTTTGGGTTTTTCTTTTTTCCACTGATCTTTTACCCCTCATTTCTAGTTCCACGATGACTGATCATGTAAATCTTGTTTTAGATTAATATAGGCACAAAAAAATGCCCCCAATAACTTGTAGCGGACACTGTTGTTGTGCCTTGTGACTGACTCATGTAGTAGATCATCCAAATGTTCGATGAATTGACTGTCTTAGTCGATGCATGCAGTTATAATGATCAGAGACGATATTGTTTGCATCTTAAAATGTAAAACTGTGATCTATCAGGTTGTCATAATGGTTAATTTTGGGCTCACCCTTCTGAGCATCAACATTCTGTTGCATTCGTAGTGGTCAAACTTGAACTCAATTGTCTCACTTGATAAGGGAGCGCCTCAATCACTAAGCCTACCCCTTGAGTTATTCCTTTTCGAGATGCAAAATCCAGAGTTGTTAATAAGTTGATATAGGGTGGAACTCACCTTGTGGGACATTAACATTCATTCCACCATTAGATGACTTTTCCAACCTTATTACAGGTAGCAGTCTTCTCTTGATTTGCCCGTTGTGTCTGTGATTTGACGACAGCTCTCCCTAGATTGCCACGTTCGTGAGCTCGACTGATATCAAATGATATTTAAAAAAATAAATAAATAAATAAAAATTGGGTAGAATTCACCTTTGAAAATTGACTGATAAGAATAGAGTGCTCAAGAAGTTTATATGCAACACAAGTGGAATGATATTTATAAACAAGTTTGATAGTATGTCTATAGATTTTATGAATTTTGAATTTTACTAGAAGCTAGTCTATCAATTTTGAACAAGTTTGATAGTATGTCTATAGATTTTATGAATTTTGAATTTTACTAGAAGCTAGTCTATCAATTTTGAAGTTTTAAAGGACTTTGATGTTGCATGAAATTTATTATTAAATTGTTATTTTATTTAAAAAGAACAATAAACATGACTTTACATGTATATATATGCACATGATTTTAAATTGTTAAAATTATAAAGAGTGAAATGAATTTTATGATAAAAAAATATGATTTTTAATAGAAGGTGTCACGATTTGAAAGCTATGATATTAAAATAGAGACTCCTAATTGCCATGATCATGTCTTTTTGACTTACATATCACTTTCTTTGGCATTGGGTTCAGATAGAGGGGAGTCCTTCCTTTCTATGATCAATGTGATTATTTTAGAATAAGAAAAAAATATATCAATATATGTATTTTATAAATTTGTTTAGAAAACAAATGAGAGGGATAGTCGGCTAAAAGTGGTTTGTCAATGACAAGATAAAAGATATCTGATGGCAGCTAAAGGTGGTTGCGAGCAGTGGCGGGCGCAGAAATCACTTTTAGTGGGGCCACATTACATGTCTTAAAAAATTGTGACAAAATTTTAATTATCTATATAACAAAATATGGGTGTTTTTAAATTGGGATGAGACATTTGTGTATGTGTCAAAATGTAGATCATAAGATTGATTCAATCAAGGGTTAAAAGTGCCTTACTCTCATTTGTCTTATTTGGAAATTTCAATAGTTGAGATTAGTTTTACTAAATTTAAATGGTCCATATTAACTTTTGGTTCCCACCCTCACAGACACCACCTTTTCTCCCTCTTTTTCTTTCTCTCACATCTCACAGACTTCTTCTCACACTTCACATCTCTCACATATATCTTCTCTCTCTTTTTCTCTAATTTTGAATTCAAAATTGAAACTCCATCGTCTCTCACGCATCTTCCTCTTCCCATCACACATCTTATTTTCACCAAGCTTTCTCTCTCTAAGTGATCTCCGGTGGTGATTTCTACCATTTGGCTCTGATGGAATATAGCCCTGCTAAGAGGGGGTGATTTCTACCATCTGCATCAATGTTTGCCTCCTCTCTCTCTACACAGCTCCAAGATAGAAAGCTAAATCCTCACTTTTTTCCCACTTCTGTTACTGTTCCATTGGGTTTGTTGTTGTTGTTGTACAGATTGTATAGTTAAATAAAATAAATAGATTCATATTGAACAACTACTTTGAATTTCAAAACAAGAACATGTTAGAATTTACAAAAATTCATAATAAAATAAAACTAGTAGAAGGAAGCAAACCGAAACCTGTGTGATACCATAGTGTCCTTAAAACAGATTAGCTGCCTGTGAGTGCTGGAGGAACGTCGATTTCTGTCTCCTAAGATATGACTGTTTAGACCGGGCTAACGTAGAAACACCTTCTGTTAGCTTTGACGAACTTGATAATAGTTGCACTCTCTCTAACAAGAACCAAAGAAAGGACTAGCAAAAGATAGGAAAATTTTTCTTTGGTGTAAAAAATCATCTCCAACTTTTTTATCTCAAAACAACATCTCCATTTTCCATCAAAAATCTCTCAAAACTCTTCTTCTAAGTTGGAAGGGAAAGAAAAGGCCCTTTTTATACTTGTAGGGATGAGGTCTTAGCCATGAAGGCTACCATAAAACCTAGCATCAATGGCCATCAACTCTAACTTTTAGGGCTAAAGTTACAAAGGTGCAAAACTCCCATGTGCATAATGATCATCAACTGTATCATCAAAAGATGAGAGTTACAAAGGTTGAATAAATAAATATATATATATAATGCTATTTAAATAATCCAATTAGATGGGTCGCAAAATGGATACGAGTATTGGGTCACAACCCGATCCACACCCAATCTAAAACATTTGCACAAGACAAGCCCACTCCAGCATAACACAATCTAGCTCATGCCTAAGACTAAGTCCAACACATGCACATATACAAGCCTAGGCTAGTCCAGACCAAGACTAAACCTAAATCCAAGTCGAAGCCTAGGCCCAAGCTCAACTTCTGTTGATGCCCATTTTATGAGACAATTCTCATTCACAATTCAATGGTTTCGGCCCATCATTTTTATATTGTAATTTTTTCACTTGAGAGAATACAAAATCACTTAGACCCACTTTAACCGGCAGTTGGATCTCACTTTAATTTCAAATTAAAGTTATTGAAAAATCATTATTTTCCAACAATCCCCCACATGAATAAAATTGGTCGAACAAAGAAAAACGGACAACACTTAAAAACAAAGACTCAGAGAGAGAGCACACAAAATAACCCTGCATCAGAAAAGGTAGCTGTTAGCCTTGAACCTTTCGTAGTGAAAACCTATCGGATATACTGGTTGACCAATGAACGTAATGTCTTAAACTATTTTGCTGTTTGTGTAAATCGAGACAATAGACCTCACACAGGAGTTACTCCAACCATTATTCTTGTTCTCACTGGTGTGTTCGATTTGGCCCTGGAACACTAGCCTGGTTCAGTGAATGTTTTTAAAGAATTTAGCTTTATCAATTCTTAAAAAAGCGGCCCCACTTCGTACTCACGTAGGTGACCTACATAAGGTATCTCTCTATACCACACTTGACTATTCACAACACTTAGGTCATGAAAAACATCAGCTTAACCTCCCACCCCACAGGGTATCACTATATAAAGAAATGGGTAGGAGGATTTACCTCCACAGTGACTCATCTGTTACACGCAATTAGATTGTCCCTTTGAACCTAGATCTTAGGATCTCCAGTCAACTAGGTTGGGTTTTCTATTCCAGTAACATTACTAAAGGCCTTAACCCTATTCCTCTTGACGATGGCCTTGTTTGGTTTGTTTTTCAGAAAAAATTTTGGGAAAAATTCTCTACAAACAAATTTTCAAAAGCAATCAAACCAAACAAATTTTTCTAAAAAAAATCTCAAAATTTTGTTTAGTTACCTACTTTCCAAAATCACACTCTCTCTCATACACATCAAATCAATCACTTTTTTTAAAACTCTCTCCCCAAAATAATTTTCCAAAACTATTTCTGAAAAAAGACAAACCAAACAAGTTTTCGCACTTTTTACCTTAAAAACTACTTTACAAACACAAACCAAACACACCCGATGTTTCTACTACCTCTCTAGTTAACCCTTTGGTTAACGGATCCACAATGTTGTCCTTAGACTTTACATTGGGTTTGTTATTGTTGTTGTACAAACTGTATACTTAAATAAAATAAATAGATTCATATTGAACAACTACTTTGAATTTCAAAACAAAAACATGCTAGAATTTATAGAAATTCATAATAAAATAAAACTAATAGAAGGAAGCAAACCGAAGCCTATGTGATACCACAGTGTCTTTAAAACAGATTAGCCGCCTCACTGTGGGTGCTGGAGGAATGTTGACTTCTGTCTCCTAGGATACGACGGTTTAGACTGGGTTAACGCAGAAACACCTTCTATTAGCTTTGGCGAACTTGACAATGGTTGCACTCTTTCTAACAAGAACCAAAGAACAGACTAACAAAAGATAGGAAACTTTTTCTTTGGTGTAAAAAATCAGCTCCAACTTTTTTTTATCTCAAAACAACATCTCCATTTTCCATTAAAAATCTCTCAAAACTCTTCTTCTAAGTTGGAAGGGAAAGACCCTTTTTATACTTGTAGGGAAGAGGTCTTAGCTATGAAGGCTACTATAAAACCTAGCATTAATGGCCATCAACTCTAGCCTTTAGGGCTAAAGTTACAAAGATGCAAAACTCCCATGTGTATAATGATTATCAACTCTATCATCAAAAGATGAGAGTTACAAAGGTTGAATAAATAAATATATATAATGCTATTTAAATAATCCAACTAGATAGGTCGCAAAATGGATACGGGTATTGGGCCACAACCCGATCCACACCCAGTCTAAAACATATGCACAAGACAAGCCTAGTCCAGCAAAGCACAATCTAGCCTATGCCCAAGACTAAGTTCAACACATGCACATACACAAGCCTAGGCCAGTCCAGACGAAAACTAAACCTATGTCCAAGTCCAAGCCTAGGCCCAAGCCCAACTTCTACTAATGTCCATTTTATGAGACAATTCTCATTCACAACTCAATGGTTTCGACCCATCATTTTTATATTGTAATTTTCTCACTTGAGAGAATACAAAACCTCTCAGACCCACCTCAACTGACGGTTAGGTCCCACTTTAATTTTGAATTAAAGTTGCCAAAAAATGATTATTTTCCAACAATTGTTCAATCTTTGCCTCATCTCTCTCTAATCTAGACAACTCCCTATTTTTTTTTTTGGGAGAGGGGGAAGAGGGTGTGTGAATCTAGGGTTTTATTTGGGTTTTGGATTTTGATATGATAATTAATTTTTGCCTCATCTCTCTCACTTTTTTTTCCATATTT